GGCAACAGAGCGAGACTCCGTCTCAACAAAAAAAAAAAAAAAAAGGAGGAAAATAATTGGTCCTGTCTCCACATAGCCTGATAGAATTTTGGCTGGGACAGGGAAATAGGAAGATGCGGTTAGAGAAATAACTGCCAATACCAATATTTATGCCTGTAAGTACCAATTTTTAATCTTCTACTTTGATTATTAAAGTATACAATCTCTTTCCAGGGTCTTAGATTTTCTCAAAAATAATTTAACACACTAACAGTTTCGGGATGAAAATAGCAATATATTGTTTTTGTATTTTCTAGAATCAGAACAGGAAGTTAGGACTAGCTGCAAAGATATACATGCCTAAAAGGAAATTAATATAAACCATTTTTACCAATCTAATTGTATTAGTTTGCTAGGGTTGCTGTAACAAAATACCACAGACTTGGTGGCTTAAACAACAGAAATTTATTGTCTCACAATTCTGGAACTACGTGTCCAAGCTCAAGGTCTCAGTAGGGTTGGTTCCTTCTGAGGGAAGGATTTGTTCCAGACCTCTTTTCTTGGCTTGTAGACAGCAACCTTCTCCCAGTGTCTACACGTTGTTTTCTCTCTGAAACTGCTTCTGTGTTCACATTTATTCTTTTTATAAGGATATCAGTCCTGCTGGATTACAGCCCATCTTAATGATCTCATTTTAACTTGATTACCTCTGTAAAGATTCTATCTCCAAATAAGGTAACATTCTGAGGTACTGGGGATTAGTACTTCAACATATGAATTATGGGGCAGTGGACACAATCAACCCATAACATGAATCTTTTTGGTGATCTAAATAAAATTTGTGTTTAAGAGAGAAGGCAAGGAGGCTGCAAACTACTGGATAGGCTGTTTTTGACTTGTGATTTGGGAAAAAAGTAGTGCTGAGGTCCAGGGGTTTGAGATGATAGGATTCCTAAATGCGGGCAGGACCAGGAAGACCTCTCTTAGTTCAGAATTGAAGGTTGTAATATTTTAAAAGAATAATTTGCGGACAAGATGTAAGTGCTTAAATCTAAGCAGAATTTAGTAACTATGTGTCCTGTATGTAGCCCTAAAAAACTCTTTTCTTTTTTATAATTTAAAAATGTACAACTTCTTCAATTCTCTTTCTAGGTGCTAAAACTCATTCTAAAAACAATTTGACAATGAATATTATAATAGAACTTAATCCAAGTCATTTTACTAAATTTTTCTTTGATTATTGAAAATTAAATACAAAAATCTCAAAATGTTTGGGTATTTTTACATGAATTCATCTAATCCAACCACATTTTTTAGCATCTACATATAAAGCAAGATTCAGTAAAAAAGTTCTTAAGTTAGAAAAATTTGATGAACTCTTCTCAAATCTTCCTGCCTTATCCACCACTCAGGACTCAGAAACAATAAACTATGTAAAGCTCTATGAGTCCAAAATATGAGCAAAGACTCTCACTTTTAATTTACATAGACATTTGGCATGTACTCTGTTGTTTTCAAGCACTTCAGAATTAAAATAGAGATGATTGCTGAGATGTTGCAAGGAATTAATAATATATGTAAATACAGTTGACCCTTGAACAACACAAGGCTGAACTTCACAGGTTCACTGATAGGTGGATTTTTTTTCAACCAAACACAATGGAAAGATAGTATTCGCAGGATACAAAACCCATATATGGGAGGGGCCGATTTGAGTATGTATGGATTTTGGTAGAAGCTGGAGTTAACCAAGGGCTTACTGTACTGTCACATTTTATGAAATAGTTTTGCTAAAATTACAGCCTTACATTTTTTTTTTAATAGATTGAAATCTAAGAGAGTTGACTCTCCCTTCTGAGTCTCCTTTGCACTCTGTCTCTTTAGGTTCTTACCACATTCTACCTTGCATTTTGGCAAATAACACATATGTTTCTACCATCCTCTGAAGTAGGATTATGGGAAGAATGTATTCGCTTCCCTTCATGAATTTTCTTTGGGCACTTCCTCTTAGTACCTTGCTGAGTAAGAGTCACTATAAATGTTAACTTTGAGACATTTGAATGTGAATAAGCAAAGCAACCACATGATGGCAGCATGTTAAAAGAGTAAAGAATTATTTACTTGAAGCCATCCTTTTAATTTTTTAAAATCGGTATGAACAAAGAAAAAAACCTCATATCTACCTGCTTTGTGAATCCTGTATTCTAGTCAGCTCTTACAGATGCAGGATATGAAGTGAAGTGACCGGTTTTCAAATCCCAAAAACAATAAGGAACAAAAGAACAGGGAGCTCTGAGTTCTTAGATTTTAAGCTAGAACAAGACAGTCAGACTGACTCATTCTTCAAGCTGAGCAGTTTTTGGTATTCAGTATGGGGATTATTTGGTGAATTATGCAAAGCAGAATGGTAATTTATGGATAGTGCCTAAAATTAATGTCTAGTAGATGTTTTTGGTTGCTCCGCAGATTACTGAAACAAACAAACAAAAAATAAAAGAACTCTCAGTTTTCTACATGTGCGTGTAATGTGTTTTTGAATGAATCACCAAAACATTGCAATGATTAACTTTAACATCTTTGCTTTGTCATCTGTGATTAAGGATTTATTTTTTTCATTAGCAAACAAGTAAGTCAACATTCCTTGAAAGTCTCCAACTGCATGATAATTGCCTAGGTAAGAGAGAGACGGTGAGAGAAAGCTTTTGTATTGGAAAAGTCTACATGGGATTAATTCAAGGCCCTAAACAGTGTCATAGACGTATCTGCCATTTTTACCCTCTCATTTCTGTTTTCTTTTGCAATGGCTTTATTCCCAACCGTGCTTTCTTTTGTGATAGCAAACATGACTCTAGGCTACTGGTTTCTCTACTTCAAAAAGGCACGGTAGCTCACACTTGTAATCCCAGCCCTTTGGGAGGCCAAAGGGGGTGGATCACGAGGTCAGGAGTTTCAGGTCAGCCTGGCAAACATGGTGAAACCCGGTCTCTACTAAAAATACAAAAATTAGCCGGGCATGGTGATGGGCACCTGTAATCCCAGCAACTCGGGAGGCTGAGGCAGGAGAAATGCTTGAACTCAGGAGGCAGAGCTTGCAGTGAGCCGAGATCGCGTCACTGCACTCCAGCCTGGGCAACAGAGCAAGACTCTGTCTCAAAAAAATAAATAAATAAATAAAAATTAAAATTTAAAAAAGGGTTCTCTTTCTCAAAGGTTTCAGCAGAAGTTCTGGGGCTCGCTCCTATTGGCCAGGCTTGTGTCACTTACGAATTCCTGAACCAGTTTCAGTGGTAGGAAAAAAAGAGTGCTCTGATCTGCTAGGCAGATCACAGGCTCATTGAAAGACCCAGATTTGAACCACTCCTCCAGTTCCTGAACATGAACTGATAATGGAAGAACAGAGGTTTCCCAAAGGAAAACAAGGATGCTGTTACCAAAACAAGGGGGAAGAAATGTCAGGCAGGCAGAAACAATAGCTATCCACTAAAAGAAATTTAAAAGATACAATCCTTACCTTCAATAAGTTTACAAACTTGAAAAGAATTATGAAACTGAATAAATATTATCCAAATCAATGTTTAAAGTTGCTTTAGAGCTTTTGAAATGCTTATTTCATATGATCCTTTCAAGAACGTTTTTAGTTTAGTTTTATTTTGTAGTTAAAGTCAAAGAGAAACACAGACATTATTTGCTTACCTGATGCTTATCATGCCAAACGTAGAGCTTTTTATCAAAGTTGAAACTCATATTCATATTTCCCAAATGACAGTAGTTCTACTTATATATGACATTAAGGTTTATGAATATTTATATATAAGTGAGTAGAAAATATGTTTACATTATATGATCTAATATGCAAGAATCAAACTATGTTTGACATGAGAAAAAAATCACCTAGCATGGTGTTTTTCAAATTGTGTTCTGCCTACATTATAATTTCTCGGGTTGTTTGTTATGAATTTCAAGGTTTCATTCATGAATCAGAATATCTACAGATGGGGCCCTGGGAATTCGTGTTTTTTAAATAAGAGGCTCAGGTGATTTTTATGCAGTGATGTTTAAGAACCTCCAACAACACATTTAACTGCAGCCTTAGAGACCTTATACTTATAGAAATGAAAGCAGAGATCCACAAGATATTTCTCAGGTTTTGTATCCTATTCTGGTCACCTTTCCTTTTTTGTGCTTTTCTCTGCTTTCTAAGTTAAAATAGTCATCAATTAGAAAGGTTAGGAATTATACCATCATTATATCTAATTTGTGATCTTCCAAATTAATCATTGAAAAAGAGCATTAATTTTCACAGCAAATAACTAAAACTCAAAACTTAGAATTAAAAAGGATCTTAGCTGAACTGCCCTATGCTCAGATAAGGAAATCAATTTCTCAAAAAATAAAGTGACTTGCATAGCTAAGCAATTAATATTGACAGCCCTTTTAGAATCTACTCATTTTTAAGTGACTATTTCATTTGGAGAAATGGTCATAAAAGTCAGTTAGCATTTATAAGTAAAACTCAGCTTTAGTTAAATTTAATTGTGTGTGCAGCAGAGCATAGAATTCAATTTCAAAATCCTGAACCATATTTTATGACTTGTCTTCATTAGCAGTTACTGGACATTTGCTGTCTCTCTACATGTATTCCTCATTTAATCCTCACATCTCTACAAAGTAGGTACTATTATGCCCATTTTAGAAATGAGAAAGCTAAGACATGAATAGATTAAGAAACTTACCCTAGACCAGTGTTTCTCAAACTTTATGTGCAAAAGAATCACCCAAGAGTCTTGATAATTTGCAAATTCTGACTTGGTAGGTCTGGGGTGAATCCTGAGATTCTGCATTTTTAATCAGCTCCCAGGTCAAGGCAACAATGTTGGCTTGTGGATCATACATTGTGTAACAAGGTTCTAGATCACATGTCCTAGGGTCTTAACACTACCTGTCTGACTGAAACCCATGCACTTAACCCCTATGCAGAGTATGCATTGACCTTTCTCCTTACTACATTGTAATTTACTTCCTACAGATGGAACCAGTGATACTAGTTCTTGATGCATATACATTTGTGATGCAATTTTACCCTTGAGGAATATCCAGGGAAGCAAAGCACTACGGGGATCATCATTCTCATCCTAGAGGCTCTCTTCTACATCTGCCTCTTCCGGGACCACAGCTCCCAAGAGGAAAGATAGAGGTGGCAGTGGCAGCTGACAATTTACCTTATTCTTTGGAATCTCAGGGTTTCTCCTGCTCAGTGAGTGCAGCCATTCAACTCTGACTTCTCCTCCTCAATCCTCCCATGAATATGTAGTATATAAAATCTAACTATGCTTCATGCTTTCTTATGCATGCTTATTTAAATATATATATATATATAATATGCATGTGCTTTCTTTGCTTCTCATTTTACTAGGTATTCACAGTTCATTTTCTTCCAGTAAGTCTTTTTATCCTATTCTTTTTTTGTGTCCCCAAACTCTTCCTTTGTGGTTATGCTATAATTTTAACATTTACCAAAAAAGAAGAGTCAAGTTAGCCACTTTTCATATTATATTACTTTGGTTAAATCAGTCTGGCCTAGAGGATTTCCTTTTCACTGTTCTCTTTCTCATCAGGTGAGGTAGTTTGACTGACTTGGTTTGTTCAAGCAAAGGGAAAATGGGAAATAAATCTGGATGTTCAGCATAAAAAGAGCTAATGACAAAGCTATTTTTAGGGAAAGGGACTTCTTGTCTTTCCTATATTATTCTTTATGTCTGTTTGATGTCTCTATTTTCTGGTTCTTATCTTTAAAAGACAGCTGCTTTGCCTCAGGCGTAAATCAGAAGAGGAAAACCAGCTTCTGGACCCGGAGGGAGGATGAAAGGGAATAGGAATTGAGGGAAGTGGAAGGGAAGACTAAGGGACCCCTGGAGAGTCCCTACTAAGCCAGACATAACAAACAAAAGTCCTCTGCTACTGGGGAAGACAGAACAGAGAAGCCAGCAGGGGAAGAAAAAGATGATGCTGTTCTTGATGCCTCAAAAACTGCAAGGGAGAACCCAGGCAACTGATATACACACCCTTGGAACAAATCTACCCCAGAAGTACAAGACACACACTTCAAATTCATGGAATAAATGGGAGGTGAGTGTTCAATTCCAAGACACAAGACAGAATTGGGCAAGAGGGAGGAATGCTACTACTTGTAAGTCATAGTTACATAAAAACAGCAACCACATTGTGTTTTTCCGTAAAGTTCTAGATCTGTGGTCCCCAATCTTTTTTGGCACCAGGGACTGGTTTCGTGGAGGACAGTTTTTCCACTGACTGATGATTCAAGCACATTACATTTATTGTGCATTTTATTTCTATTATTATTACATTGTAATATATAATGAAATAATTATACAACTCACCATAATGTAAAATTGGCGGAAGCCCTGAGCTTGTTTTCTTGCAACTAGAGGGTCCCATCTGGGGGTGATGGGAGATGGTAACAGATCATCAGGCATTAGATTCTCATAAAGAGTGTGAACCTAGACCCCTCGCATGCACAGTTCACAATAGAATTCGCACTCCTATGAGAATCTAATGCTGCCGCTGATCTAACAGGAGGTGGAGCTTGGGCAGTAATGCTCCGTAGCCCCACTGATCACCTCCTGCTGCACAGCAGGGGTCCTAGCAGGCCATAGACTGGTACCAGTCCACGGCCCAGGGGTTGGGACCCTAGCTCTAGATTTAAGTGTTTATAGATGAAGTACTTTAGTTTTCCTGGAAAATGTATTGAAGATCAATTTATTCAAGGTTATCACACATGTTAAGAACCTCACAAAGCTCTTAACCTCTGTAACCCCGGTAGGTTTGGGAGGCTGAAATGAGAGGATTGCTTGAGGCCAGAAGTTTGAGACCAGCATAGGCAATACTGAGAATCTCTGCCTCTACAAAACAACTCTCACAATTTTATATATACACACAAATTTGGACTTCCTGAATTAACCAGTTAATATATTTTAAAATACACATTAACCCAAGAGGTAAATAACTCATCAAAATTCAGTAAAAATAATTACTTGACACCAGATAGCTAGCTTTACATTTTCCAGTTTTTTAGCCAGTTGCTAGAAATCACATAAACATAGTCTGATTTTTATAAATTTGGCTGAAAAATTGAAGGATTATTATCAATTTCAGTTACTGTTTCTTTTTAAAAATTAGCTTAAGTTTGATATTGAAAATATAAAGCTTTTTAAAAATTGAAATGCTGAATGAAAGGAATAAAAATCATGTTATAGTGTTAGTAGAGTTCTCAAACAGCTCACTCATATTTTAACATACTCTTACCCTAAGGTATTAGAGAGTGGATTGTTTAAATACAGGTAAATAAAAGCTATAGGAGTTACAGAAGTGGTGAAAGGAGGGAATGCTAGCAATTTTGTGGTGGCCAAATAAAAACAATGTATTTATCAATAGATACAAATGTGCAGATTAATTCTTATTTTAGACATCTTTGGCAGCTAGAAGTACAACTTTAGGCTCTCAAGAATGACAGTTTTGATTTATATTATTCTCCACAGCTCCATTTAAGTACACTACTACTCTATCTGCATTCCTTTTCTCTTACTTGACGGCTAATGGGCATTGCCTTTCCTTGATATCTCTCAAAGAAATAAAACTAGAAGGATTTTTAAGGAGCATAAACATTCAGCTCCCAGCTGTATACACACACACACACACACACTCACACACACTCTCACACTCACGAAGTTAGAGAAAAGCTCATAAAAACAACAGCAATAAAAAGCCAGGAAATATATAAATGTAGAACCTCAGTTTCTACAGAATATTCTTGAACAGAAACTACTAAACTACTGTAATTGTTGTGCTAACAGACAACAGTGATGTCTGAGTGAGAGTAAGTATATGAAGATGATAAGACTATAGATAAATCTTCATATATAGCTTGTTTGTTTTTTTTTTTTTTTTTTTTTTTTTTTGTGACAAGCTCTCACTCTGTTGCCCAGGCTGGAGTACAGTGACACGATCACGGCTCACTGCATCCTTGACTTCCTGGGCTCAAGCAATCCTCCCTCCTCAGCCTCCCAAGTAGCTGGGACTATACGTGCATGCCACTACACCCAGCTAATTTTCTCTAGTTTTTGTAGAGATGAGGTCTTGCTTTGTTACTTAGGCTGGTCTCAAACTCCTGTGCTCAAGAGATCCCTCTGCCTTAGCCTTCCAAAGTACTGGAATTATAGGCATGAACTACCATGCCCGGCCCCATAAAGTGTTTGTAAAAAAAAAAAAAAAATATATATATATATATATAGAGAGAGAGAGAGAGAGAGAGAGAGTAATATGTGCATGTGGTACAAAATTGAAAAGTTAGGTAGTAATCAGAAATCCCTCTATCCTAACCTTCACCCACCCAATCCTCCTCCTAGAGGCAACCACTATTAGCAATATCTTGAATATTTTTTCAGAGATACAACATGAAAGATTTTAATTCCCTTTAGTCCCTCAGTTGAAACTTAAGAGGTTTAGATTTCCATTGACTTAAAAACAACACAATGGAATTCTAGTCTTTGGTTCAGATCTGAAAACAACTTCCATTTATCAGTCCGGAAAACTGAGAACTTACTGGATATATCACTAATGGTTCAGGATTCCTCCTTAGAAGAGAGTTCTTTTCTCTAGCAACAAGATAAATAGCTGATTTCTTGGAAGCTGTCCTTTCTTAATAGGCCCTATTTCATTAGTTCATTGCCTGGTAATTACAGCTGCATGCAAATAAAAATGTAAAATGGGTGTGATTTCCTTTTATAGGTTGAATAATATGGGTAGCCCTGAATTATGAAAGGAAACAGATTGCTCTTTGGTTTTTATTGTTATATCCAAGGTTCCCTATCTGCTTTGGGTGAATTATCACTAGCCACCTAAAAAACACACTGATGAAAAAAGGGAGAAGACACACATCTCCCTCCTGTGCAATGCTGATAAATTTATACGGCTATTTAACTAGTCATGTGAGATATCAATTATTAATAACAGCAGTAGGTCTTTTGAGTTCTAAGAGCTTTAAAACTGATGATCTCTCCAAAACATCTATAATTTGCAACTATTTACAGTACAGCAGAAAGACCTCGTGAAAATATTTATGGCTCTTACAGTGTCAAAATTTTGTTTTGTTTTGGCATTTATAGCAGTTAACTAAATGCTAGTGCTATGTTAGTTCTCATTGCTATAAGTGTGGGAGTAAATTGAAACAGTTGTGACAAACATACCATGATGGCAATGAATGATGAAAACATAATTTTCATTCCCTGCTTACATCGAAATTTTTTTCAGGTATCAGATCAAGAGGTGGATTACTGGGTGCTAAATAGGATTCTGCAGCTGAAAGCTCCTTTTAATTTTGGCAGAACAAATAGTTATAGTATACAATGATAGTACTGAAGGTGGAAATGTCACATCTCAGAAAGTGTGCTAATAGTATTGCTAGCTGTGAATTATTACATTTAGTGTGTGGCGGCAGGAAATCACATAGATGTAAATATGTTCAATACTTGTTTTCCTAGGCCAACCATCTAAGATGTTATTTGTCATTATTTATACATTATATTTGAATTTTTAAATATAAAGCAATTTTTCTACTCTTTAAATTTTTATTTTCAAAACTATGCACATACATAGCTTAAAAAGTCAAATATTTCACAAGGCTAATAATTTAAAAACATCATTCTTCTGTTCCTTCCCCTCATTATTGGTCCTCAGAGAAAACCATTTTTAATTCTCTCAGCTCTTTTTCCTGGCGTCTACTGCTGTACGTCTAAGAACCCTCATTTAATGCTATTTTTTCAATTTTTTATTATCCTATGGTTAACTTGTTATTTCTAACCCCTGCCCTCCTACCCCCTCAATCACAGTCACCTTCTACTTCTCTTCTCAGTATAGCTACAGCTTTATTTGTCTAAATCAATGTTCAGTTTTCATTATAACCAATTAGATATCATTCATAACTGATGAATGTAGTGTATCGGGATTGTAATTATTTTCTTCTACAACTTTGTTTTCTGGGTACTTATAATTGTACCTTTTAAAAAATTTTTGCTTTGTTTTCTGTGTGCTCATGGCTACCAGGGTCATCCTGTGTTGCTTCACAAAGTGTTGACTTCCTCTTAATACAGTCTAACGCTTCAGGAAATCTCAGTTTCCCTGTTGTCTTGAAGATACACCTTCCACCCTGCTGCTCCTATCTGAGCTACTTGTCTTCCCCATCTGCCCCTCAGCTGTCTTCCTGGGATTTCCTGTCACATCATCTGGGACATTTCCTTCACCTTCCTTCTGTCTGAGATCCTTATTCCTGGATCCCGAGACTTCCTCTTTATTGACTTACTCTCCTGTTTTGGGTGGGGCATATTTTCCAGTAGCTTCCTGAGAGACTGCCTGAGAGGTGAACTTTGAGACCTTGCCCGTCTGAAAATGTCCTGATTCTACCGTCGCACTTAATTTATAGACAGGGCGTAGAATTCTAGGTTTGCAATACTTCATTCTTAAAATTCGAAGGGATTGTTCTACTATGTTGCAGGTACCAGTTTTGGTACTGAGACATCTGGTGCCTTCAGATTCATGCTTGTTGGTATGTGACCTGCTTTCTCCTCTCCACCTCTCTGGAAGCTTTTAGCATCTTCTTTTCTATATGTGATGTTCTGAAGTTTCTCAGTCATATGCATTTATAAGACTGTTTTTCTTCCCATTGCGCTGGACACCTTGTATCACGGTGACACCTTTCAGTTTGGAAACTTGTGTTTTTTAGTTCTGGAAAATTTTCTTGAATCATTAGTTGAATACCTTCTTCTTCTTCTTTATTTTTTCTGATTTCTTTATGAGACTCCCATTATTTGGAAGTCAGATATCCTGGAAAAAAATGCCATAATTCTGTTTGACCTTTTTGTTGTCCTGTTCTCTCTCTCTCATGTGGCTTGTGAACCTAATTGTCAGCTTGATCCGTAAAAGCCATTGTGGCAGTGCAAAGGCAAATTCAAAATTGTTATCTCTGGTTATTTTTAGTGTTTTTTAAAAATATGTTTCAGCTATTTCAGTTTTGTCAATTATCAATGTATCTTATGTTTTTATAGTCCTCAATA